TCAACACCACTGAAGTTTTCAAAATCTTACAACGTGCGGCAAACAAAAAACAGACTAGTTTAAAATGCACGCACCTAGGAGAGTAGCCGGTTTTTTCATTGATAGTACTTTTGTAAAATCCGTTAAAGTAGTGTTTGAGAGACAGTAAAATTTGTACAAAAAAGCAAACATTTTCCTTTATAAGCTTAAAAATAACAAGACTGAGATCTTCAACGTATTGGAATTTTTTAAAATTAAGTTTTTGAAAATTTTTTTGAAAAAATCATAAAAACGTCATATCTCGAAAACTACAAGGATTTGGTTGTTCATATATGGAGGCCAGAATCACAAAACCTGGGAAAATTCTGACAACATCCAACTATTGGGTTGCTATTTACAAACTTGATGAAATGAAAACTGAATTTAAACGGGAAAATCGAAAAAAACACGTTGAAAAAGCTTAAACATGGCGAGATAGTGAAGCCCGTATTTAAATATATAATAACAGATAATAGATTTGATAGAAGAAAAATTTAAAAAAATTAGGAGACGGGTAGACAGACAAAATCAAATTTTTTTAAAAAGCAGGTATACAGACAGACAGACAGACAGACAGACAGACTTAATTTGGCCTCGAAAAAATCTAGTGAAAAATTAATGACCTTGAGGGAAAATTAATGAAAAATTTTCTTAAGCATTGCAATACATTATATAGCTTAAACATGAAAAAATTCTTTCGTTAAACAAGCAAAATTTTTATGCTTAAACATGGGAGATAGCTGTCACTAGCATTTAAATATAGTATAGATACAAGCAAAAATTGAAATCTTATACATTTTCGTAAAAACTAATTTTTTCAAACGGGAACCAAAAGAAGCTTATCAAACAGAAACTCAAAAAGCAGCAATAAACGCTGTTAAATTACCTATTGTTGGATATATATCAAAAGTGAAGTGCAACCAAATGAGCATTTTTATCTGTGGCTAGGTTGCAAAAATTTCGTTTTAAACTGAGCTCCGCGAAAAAGTAATATCAAGGATCTATCAAAAAGCTACAATACGTTCAACTTTCTAAAGAAGTGCTTCACATACTGCAATAACAACATATGGCTATATCAAGACTTAAAACACTTAACATAGGCGTCAGTGGCTATGACACTCGCATTTAAACTCACTATAAGCGTGGTCGCATACTCAGCTTTACTTAACAAAAACATTCGTGCAGAATTACCTTTTAATACCACTAAAGAATTATCATACAACATCTAGTGTTTAAAAGTTATGAAATAATGGATTGTCTAATCGTCTTGTCTTGGTTTCAATGTAAACGATCACCAATCAAAAGTCAAACTTCGGTTTCATTTCGAAAAAGTTGTCACCAACAAAAAATACATAGAGACTAGGCGGAGCTACGCAACACTCACGATGCAAAATTATTTGACAGAATTACAGCGTCAAAATGTTCAGTAAAAACAGCAAAATACTTCATTTTTTTCAAAAACAAATGCTTCGTTTCGCAGATTTACGGTACGTATCAAATAATTGCAATCAATTTCCACATAATTGCAATCAGAAAAAAAAACAAAACTCAAAAATTTGATGCCTAAGCGCGATTGGTTGCATTCTTTTTTTGCCAAAGCAAAAAAAAAGAATGCAAAACAGGAAGGTTGCAAGAAAAAACTCTGCTAAAAGCAATATGATAAAAGATAATTGTTTACATAAAGCCTGAATAAATTGAAAACTTTTTTTAACTGATTTTAACAAATGCCGTAATGTTAAGCAAAATCCCTGCTGTGGCCAAGTGCCAATAAAAAACAAGCAGCACACTAGCAAAAGCCGGGCAAAGATTTTCTGACGCGCCGAAAAAAAACTCTGGTTAAAAACAACAGATGCTCTTTGTTTTTGGGCAAGTGCGTTACCGCTACACCACGTGCGCAATTTAGCTTGTGGCTTCTGATTCCACATAAACCAACGTTTAAACTGACGCAAGTGATTCTATTTAATTATTTTTCAAGCCAAAAAAAAACAATATTCCGATTTAACAACACGTGATAATCGCAAGCGTTGTTGCATGAAACCTATCGTTCCCTCAATCACGCAATATAGAAATTTCGAAAAACAAAAGGTGCCTAGCATACGCCGAGACCAAAAGCTACTAAGCTACGGAACAAATATATTCCCATCAAGTTCCGACCGCAGTGATATAAATGTAATAAATTCTAGAAAACTATATATTTACCATAGTTGAGTACCTTTTGGGAGTTTCATTGATATTTGAAGTAGAAAATGGAAATGCTTTTATTTTAAGAGCTAATATATGCTTACGGAGAGAAAATTTTTTTTCGATATAGAAAACCCAACTGAACCTTCATCATGTATTCTAAGCATCTTTGACCAAACCATGGAACAAAATGAATTGTCAAAATTGGAAAACACCCAAGGACATAGTTTTGCTTTCTTTCTGTAAAAATAACGTTTGAACACAGAAGCGAAGCTGCGCTTCCCAAACAAAGCAAAAAAGCTAAGAAATATCTTTAAAAGGAAATCCTGAAATTTGAAAAACAACTGAATTTTACGGGAAGTGAACCTCAGTCCTCGGACATTCATGATTTCCAGTTGACTGCCCAACAAATTTGTGCCACTGACGCTTATACAACCCTACAAGCGGCAAAATGGAGCTTCAAAATGCACAAATTTTGCACGCAAGAATTTCAAATATAATGAACTTAAGGACAACACAATAACTTTGCAAGCAACAGCTTGGAAAGTATAAAGTCAAATTGTGTAAGCAAGCATTTCGAAATTTTCGCCAAAAATAATTGGAAATTTTCTTTTAAAAAAAAACGTTTTTATTATTCTAGCTGTATGAATCAAACATCTTTCTTCGGTTCACCTGATGAAAGAAAACTGCATCAACTCTGTTAACTTGTACTATCAAAAAGCAAAACTATTAATTAGCCAATTCAACCTCCTGCATTAAAATGCCACCAAAGTAGCGCTAGTATTTGCAACTTAGGTTGGAAAATATGGAAAAAGTAACCTTGTACTATCACACTTCATTCCGCTGTGTACATAAAAGAAACTAGAAAAAATTAACGTTATCCTGAACCCGAAATGATCAGTATAATTCAGTCGAAACTGCCATGTTATGTCGTTAAGACTAATGCAAAAATTCCTAATTGATGAATTGGTTGTGTATCCAACAATTTATAACCCTCGACTTTGAGCTGTCCACTTAAACCAAGAAAATGACCGCTAGTTCTAGTCATGTTGAAGTTTCCGCACATAAATAAACATGGTCGATAACTAGGACTTCAAGGTAACCAGATTTAAAAAAAAAACAGCTTTTTCTCGTAATTTTTTTTTGCATTTTTTGTCGGTCAGTTGACGATTCGAAGGTACTTAATAAATATCATTCAACTATAGGACGGTAATTTGTTGTACCTACTTTTGCGTAGAACAAAATTTAAGATAACACAACCGAATACAAAGTTCCTCCCATGTCGTCGAATCAAAAATGTTTATCTACAATTTGATGATTCATTTATCATGAACAGAGACTTATATTGAAAATTTTTCAAGTTTGAAACTACCTCCCAGATGAATACAGAAAAGCGCATTGCATATTTTAGGTCAATATATGTCATTGCCAGTAGATCAGAACTATCAATCAAAAGTTCTACATAGAGAATTAAGTATTCAGAAACATTCAGCGAGGAGAAAGCAAGTCATTAAACTGAAAAAAGGTCTATATTCCGATGTGATAACACTTGTTAATCTCAAGCGTAACCCAAAAAAGTTACAAGTACCTGAAACAAATCGAAGTAAAGTTTGTATGAAAGACGAATTGTATACAAGTCGACTTAAATTTTCGTTTGCTCAGCATTTAAAGTAAACATGCTTGAATCTTCTTTTGATTAGCATGGGAAAATTTTATGGGAAGATTAATATGGGAAAGAGGTCAAATAGAGTATATCATTCGGCCTCGTTTTACGTTTCGATGCGGTATCTGACATAGCGTTAAGAACCACTGTCGGCAAAACCTGCCCAAAAATGAAAATTATACCGAGAGACGAGCCTTATCCTGTAATAAGGAAATCTGACATCTGTTAAAACTAATTTGCCAAAATAATATTCAAACATTTAAAAATCACACACATCAATGTAAATTATTTCAGTGAACTCGAGTTTGATAGGTTTTTGAGCTGTTCAGTTTTCAATTCACAGGCTTCCTTTGCCAAATCAAGTTTCATAGTATTAATGTAGACCGATCCTCCGTGTGGATAGGTTGAACTGTTTTTCTGCAGATAACTCAACTCTCCTGCAACTATGCTCTGAAACGACTTGATCGCAGACGAAAATCTTGCCAGACTTGCACGACATTCCGATTGATTTGAGGAAAAAACTGGATCTGGTCCTTCATTATTTTGGTTCAAAATTTGAACTATGTTACTTGTTTCTTGCGCTATTAACACAATTTGTTCGTCTGCTTTGTCTAGACTTTGCAGTCGCTCTTTCAAAGTTACATTTCCTGGTTCAAGATTATTGGACATAGCTCATTTAGCAACTGAAAAAGAAAATATAGCCAACCGTCTATTGAAAAAGAGTCAATGAACGCAATGACACAAAAACTGCTTTCGAGCTTCAGGGGAAAAAAGATGACCTCAAGCACTTTGAATTGATGAAAAATTCACGATGAACACTTTTTTGATAAAAAAATTAACCCAATCTGTGAAAACTTGATCAGTAGAGAAATTTTTATCCCGCTGGGAAATATAAAAACTATCCAAACTAGAAGTCGATCACTTTTTTTATGACATTACTTTTGCTGATCGTTATTTGAGTTTTAAATTGACGCCATAGCTTTTGAATCTTCGTCAGACAGTGTCGGCCAGTCACAATTGTCTAACGCAAAACAGTACAGCGGGTTTCTTAATGTTTCTACTCAAGATGATCAGATTATGAATTCCGTTGCCAAAAATTTTTGAAACTTTCAAATTAAAATTTAATCGAAGGAGCTTTATCATCTGATTCGAGAGATAATAAACGATGTTAAGCTGTGACTGAACTGGCCAGCCATAATTTTGCCAGAATACGCAAAAACGGACGATTCAATTTTCAATTTGCTTCAACATTTATAACAAAACAATATAATTAGAGCTATTTTACACAATTAGAAAATAAAAGTCATATTCCATAATGCGGCCCAAGTTCTTGCCTTCATCGTCCGAATTTTATTATTATTTTTTCAATCAAAAAACGTAGCTTATCAAAACTTCGCTACATTCTCTCATATACATAAATGTATCCCAAGTCTTTTGGCAATTTCGAACTGACTGCAACCTTTTCATCGTTGAACAGAATCCATTTATCATTTATCTTCACATGAGCCACATAATGTCCACAAGATGCTGAAGGACCAATATGACTGATAAAAGACAGCAACTTGTACTTCGATGAGCCCATGTCTATCTGATCACACTCATTATTCGTTCCAGTGGCACCCTGATTCGCAGGAAGTTCGGCCTCTGTCGGAGCCTCTGGTGTCATACTTTCCTCGAGATGACTGAAAATCCAATCGATAGCTCTTTCAACATTTCCATCTGTATTCTTCAAAGCATTAATAGCTTGTACTCGCTCAAAGCCCATTGACATTACAATGGCAATCGACTCCTCCGATAGCGCAGGCGTTGGGCTGTTGTTTGAGGCCGCAGATTCAGACCCACCGTTTGGGTCAAAAGGTAAATTAAGGTCAGCGTCATCCAGGTGCTCCATCACCCAATTTGACGCAGCTTCGATGCCCGAGTTATTAGTGTGGAAACAAGCCCTTTTGCATGCTTCACTCGTGAACCCCATACTCATCAACGTAGAAACTATTTCCTCGTTAAACACAAAACTAGACTGTGTTTGAGATGCAGTCGGCATAAGAGTTTCATGTTCAGGCCTAGGCAGCGCCCTGATAACTGAAAGGTCAATATTTTCAGGCATGTCGATTGATACTTCCAACTTTGCCGGTCGCCAATCTTCCGTTATAGTGAACCTTCTTATATGTATGAACAGGTACTTTGGGAAGGACAAAATCGAAGTATATTTGTGACCTTCGACTAATTGATTATTTGCAGCTGCACTTCGAAAATTTTCAACGACTTGCTTCTCTATAAACGTAGTTAGCAGTTCCGAGAAAGGCACTTTTGGTATTACAATTTCTGATACGTCAGGCTCTTTGCCTTCGCTTTTGTATTTTTCTTTCAGCTCCGCAAAAGCGTTTACTTCGTCATTGTTTATAGTTTTATCCATTGGCACAAAAAGTGATAACATGTTGTCTTTTCTTTTGTCGTATCTAGCCGCTTGTGTCACCGAACATACTATTTTTTCTTGAATTGAGAACTGAAAATCTTTCGTAAAATCTTCTCCAAAGATTCTCGAAGTCTTCTCAACAAGGGAAAACAGATGGAGGATAAACTCTTGCACATCTTGCTGATTTCCGGTACTAAACTCTCTGTGATTCTTGCCTACACACCTTTTGAAAGAGGCCGGTGAAATGCCTTCCATATGCTTTTCAACCATTTCTGGCGTCGAATATTTCTCAGATAACATGCCTGTAAAAAGTTTCGCCATTTGGAAACTCAGATTATTGTGAATTTCATCTGAAGTCGGATCAATGGTGGAAACCAAGCTAGCGAATGCAGCTAAATATTTAGCAGCTACATCTGGAATATGATACAAGGCTTGCATCACTGAAGCAACATAACAAGTGTTTCCGAGATTGCGCAGTCCAACATAACCTGTTCCGTACATTCGTTCCAAGTTAGAACCCTCCTCGGTCAGAAGTTTCCATTCGTAGCTCTGATTCAGTTCAATTTCCATTTCTGCCATTGTTTTGTCAGTTTTAACCATATTTTCAATATTAATTCCGAAATGCGCCAAATGCTCTTTCAGTTTTGGGTCTTCAACCATGTCGTCTTCAGTATATGAGAACACGTCTGCTCTTCCGTCTGCTGTGATAGTTCCCAATTTCACTGCTAAAGGGTACCCCGTCTCCCGGTAGTAATCCACGGCGTGGTTATTTCCACCGGACCCATCGAAGAATTTCCTTCCGCACAAAATAGCCCCATCTGAGAGGTTGACCCACAAATTCGTAGTTAAATCACATCTCTCGCACTTCCAACCCGAGGGGGGTACCTTGCGTCCGTTGTCCAGTTGGACCAGCTCAACCGTAGTCTCTCTTCGTTTCTCGCCGTCCCATTCCAGAGGTAAACTGGACGCCCTGGGTGAATGAGCATCGATAACGTGCCTCACATTCTGTCTCACAATTTCAGGAAGCTCATTTGAGTCCACTTGCAGAAATTTCTGTTCTGGCGCCAGGTACACTCTGTAGCTGTCTTCGAAATCGAATTGAGTCTCAGGTCCAGCAGAGAATCCGCCCTCGACTCCAATCGCCAATTTGGTCGGCTGGTGTTCAGCAGCATCGTCAGCATTACTTGTTTTTGCTGTCTTAATCCTCCTAAAAAAAGAACAACCTTTATAAAGCGAAATCTTCTTTTGTGGAAAACTGATTAAATTAGATTAAAATCAAAACTGTCAATCTAAGGATCAAATTGAGTAATCATTGAACTAGCGTGTAACGCACCTCCGGTGCTTCGAATTTTTAACAACTAATAACAAACTGCATATATTGGAAATTAAATCTTCATCCTTTGTGTACTCTGACATCACATAATTACAGAGTTCGTTATTTCAAATTTTGTATTCAAGTTTTTTAAATCAACTTTTGTCACAGAGGCGAAGCGGAGCTTCGCAATCTTGCGATTCAACACAATCATAAAAAAACAGTAGTCGAAAAAAAACCAGGTGAACCAAAATTTGAGAAAACTAGGTGAACTCAAATTTTTGTAGAACTCGAGGAAGGACAGCTAGGGCCCAGCTAAAGCATAGGGCCCAGCATTGTTATACTGATGCGGGACCAAATGCGTAATTTCAAAAACTAGACTTTGCCCACAACCTTAGTTGTTTCTCTAAAATTAGAGAGAACAGTGTAAATAATTAAGATTTTGGAATGTTCCCAAAGTCATGACCTTTCTCGTACAAAAAAGTAAAAAGTAACCGCTTCTGCAGTGAATAATCGCGCAACCGTTTTTTGGATTGAATTTTTAACCTCAGATTTGATAGGGTAGTGTAGTGTTTAAGAAAATTCAAAGTTTCTAAAAAACGGTCAAAGTTCAAAAACTTGACTTTCCTAAATTCGTTACTTTTTTTGCGAAAAGCAGGTCGTCGCTGGTAAAGTATAGAAGATTCCCTAAATCGGATTCCTCGATTGAACACTTAACATGAGATTTGGCACGGTGATATTCGAGTCACAAACTCCACAAAACAAATTGGTTGTAGCAAATTACAAAGGTAAGCTTCCAACAACCTGTTCTGTCGATCAAACCTATGATATTAGATTTGGCAGTATAGTTATCGAGAAAAGTCCAGAAAAAAAGGTCAACAAATCAGATAGTTGACATTTTCGAGAATCATAGATTTTTGTGTATAAAACTTTGCGCGTAGCCGCTTATGTAGAAGAGATTCACCCAACGTGTTATTTAGATTGAACCCAAAAACCCAGGTTTGGCAGGGTAGTACTCCCGAAAAGTTTCAAAAAACGGTCAAAAATCAAAAAATTGACTTTTCCGAGAAGGATGACTTTTTGTGAAAAACTTAGTAGAAGCCTCTAACGCAGGGGAGCTTCTCACTACCCATTGTATCCATTGAACCCACAAACTCTTGTTTGGGAGGTTGGTTTTCGAGAAAAGTCAACAAGTCTCCAAAAATGTTCAAAAATATCACTCTTTCAATGTTTTTTGTAAAAGAAAAAGTTTGGGCGTAGAAGCTTATGGAGGAAAGTTTTCCAAATCTGATCTCTTCGTTGAAACACAAAATCTCCGATTTGGTAGGTTAATTTTTGAGAAAACAAACAAAAAAACCAAATATATTGGTCAAATATTTCCCCGACCGACCTTTCAAAGACTGTAGACAAAGGCGTAAAGCAAAAAGAGACCAGGTGATTATGCAGGAACACAAGGGTGTAGGCGGTATTTTTATGGATACCCTTTTTTTGAAAATCCATAGAAAGGTTTTTGAGAAAAAAAAAACTTTTTTTTTTTGCGAAGTGCTACAATTTTCCGAAGCGTAAAAAAAACCAATCCCATACATTTTCATAAAACCTGTTTTTTTTTCAAACAGGAATTCTACGCAAACATGCCACTCAAGGCATTTGAAATTCCAATTAGCAAATGGACAAACTTACGAAGCGGAAACAAGGCCGAGCAGACACCAGTTAAGCCGAAAAAAAAACTTATTAAAAAAAACTTTCATAGGCTTCAAGTACCCCTGAAACTATCCTGTAGTGACTAGTACCCTCCCAAAAACAAATATGAATTTTTATGAAAATGAGCAAGTAAAATTTGAATTTTTATGAAAATGAGCATGTCAGCATTGATATCAGCAAGAGATTCAACTGATTTTGTTAAACTAGTTGTTAACTAGAAAAAAGTCTACATTCCGATTTGATAACGCTTGCTAATCGCAAGCGTACAAATATATTGAGCTGAGTCATTTGCAATTTTTTTCTTTCGAAACAAAATCGCAAGCGTAAAAAACCATAAACCGTAAAAGTTTTTAAAATCAAAGTCCTTTGAAAAATATATAAAAATTAAGAAACGTCACATCTCGTAAACTAAATGCAATTGAGCAGTGGCATTTAGACATAAGATTGGCAACTCCTGAGAGTACTCCAACAGTACATGTTTTTACTTTATCCCCTCATATTTTTAGGTTTTAGTTTATCCGGGACATGTTTTTAGTTTATTCCCTCTTTCAAATAATTCTAACAGCTGATGCTTATTTCTGCTAATATTCATTTGATATTGGATATTTTCATTTGATAAATTTCATTTGAAAATGTGCTCGCATGATCATCTTTACTTAACAAAAACGTTCGTGCACAGTTACCTTTTTATTAATTTTCATTTAATTAATTTTAATTTTTTCTATAAGCTTTTGACTACCAGCCAAATTTACCAAGACTTTAATCCCTAAATATCATAATTGCGCTCGTAAATAGAAGCTTAATTTCGCGCGCTAAATTTTTCAGAACAGTAAAACATTCAGACCAATTTTTGACAGCCAGATATTTTTGAATTTTTTCAGTGCAGCTCGAATCAATAGTAAAAGTACTTTGATAGGATATATCACTCGACCCCTTCAGACGTGTCTTTGAGGTATCTTGCTTCATGCGAAAAAAAACAGACGACATTTGCCGATCGGAATCATCAGTTTCAAGAAAAGAATAACATTGAGGGTATTGTTATTAGGAGGAATCATCTTGCGGTGCGCCTTAAATCATCGTGTATAGATTTTTCAGGCAAACAAGCAACGCCAGTCAAAATGGGGCAAAAGCGCCCCATTGTGTCAACGTCGTCATCTACGTCGCCGGAGGATAATCGACCCCTAAGGTCGTCTAATCCGAGATCTCGGATTACTGCCAAAACAGTATCGGTTCCTGTTCGTCCTCAGCCTCCTCTACTGTTGTCATCCTCCACCCCTGTGCGGACAAAATCCTCTGTGACCAAGTCGGCGGAAAGCTGGTGTCGGATGCTCCTGGCATACAGTCTATTCCTCGAGATGCTACGGCGGTGGTGGATCTTACGGCCTCTTCCTCTACGTCTGGAAATTTCCTCCCGGAAGTGCCTATCAGTGTGAAGTCGAACGTATCTTCTCTTGCCAAATCTGTGATCATCTCTTGCGCGGATTTGATTCCTATCTCGTCGGATGATGAATCGTCAGTCCCGCAATTATAAGATTGTTCTAAAGGCTCAAATTTGGCTGTCTCCAACCCTCCCAACCGCGATGTGTCAGGATTTACTTCGGATCTTGATGGAAATATCTCCTCAGCGTCCAATTCGTCACGCACTTCCTCTCGCCAAAAGAAGCAAACTTCTTTTTATGGTAGCCCAATTCGTCACTCCGTGAATCTAATTAATTTACCTATCCCATCCAGTTCGACTCAGGCATCTCCGGATAGAAGGGTCCGCTTTGCCAAGGACAAACAAGAAAAATCTCTTCAGTAGGAACATCCTCGGGTTTGTTCTCCAAACAAGGCCGGAAGCTTTACTAGGAAGTTTACTAGATTTCCTACTGTCAACTCGTTGTCGGATAACCCGCTGCGACGGAATGAAAATTAAACTCTGCTGTTCTTCTGTCGGTCATATTCGTTAGATTTAAACTCTTTGCTAAAACTCTTAGATCTGTACTCACTCAATCGTTGAGTCCTTTCAGTCTTTTCAAGTTATTTTGTATTTAGTGCAGTTACATTTGAAAAATTCATATGTTCCATTTGAACTTTCCCTAGAGGGGGAAATGTGGTGCGGTGTTGTTTAATGTGTAGTACTGTATTATTCATTGTTACTTATGACGTCATTCTAATCTAAGCCGTTATTCTAATGTTGGTTATCAAGGTCGCTATCGACCTGTCAAACCTCGGTTCATTTATAAGCAAGCATGATTTGTTAAAGTACTTATTTTATTTATTTATATATATATAATGTTTTTTTCTTTCAATGTTTTTTGTAAAAGAAAAAGTTTGGGCGTAGAAGCTTATGGAGGAAAGTTTTCCAAATCTGATCTCTTCGTTGAAACACAAAATCTCCGATTTGGTAGGTTAATTTTTGAGAAAACAAACAAAAAAACCAAATATATTGGTCAAATATTTCCCCGACCGACCTTTCAAAGACTGTAGACAAAGGCGTAAAGCAAAAAGAGACCAGGTGATTATGCAGGAACACAAGGGTGTAGGCGGTATTTTTATGGATACCCTTTTTTTGAAAATCCATAGAAAGGTTTTTGAGAAAAAAAAACTTTTTTTTTTGCGAAGTGCTACAATTTTCCGAAGCGTAAAAAAAACCAATCCCATACATTTTCATAAAACCTGTTTTTTTTTCAAACAGGAATTCTACGCAAACATGCCACTCAAGGCATTTGAAATTCCAATTAGCAAATGGACAAACTTACGAAGCGGAAACAAGGCCGAGCAGACACCAGTTAAGCCGAAAAAAAAACTTATTAAAAAAATTTTTCATAAGCTTCAAGTACCCCTGAAACTATCCTGTAGTGACTAGTACCCTCCCAAAAACAAATATGAATTTTTATGAAAATGAGCAAGTAAAATTTGAATTTTTATGAAAATGAGCATGTCAGCATTGATATCAGAAAACGATATCAGCAAGAGATTCAACTGATTTTGTTAAACTAGTTGTTAACTAGAAAAAAGTCTACATTCCGATTTGATAACGCTTGCTAATCGCAAGCGTACAAATATATTGAGCTGAGTCATTTGCAATTTTTTCTTTCGAAACAAAATCGCAAGCGTAAAAAACCATAAACCGTAAAAGTTTTTAAAATCAAAGTCCTTTGAAAAATATATAAAAATTAAGAAACGTCACATCTCGTAAACTAAATGCAATTGAGCAGTGGCATTTAGACATAAGATTGGCAACTCCTGAGAGTACTCCAACAGTACATGTTTTTACTTTATCCCCTCATATTTTTAGGTTTTAGTTTATCCGGGACATGTTTTTAGTTTATTCCCTCTTTCAAATAATTCTAACAGCTGATGCTTATTTCTGCTAATATTCATTTGGTTTTGGATATTTTCATTTGATAAATTTCATTTGAAAATGTGCTCGCATGCTCATCTTTATTTAACAAAAACGTTCGTGCACAGTTACCTTTTTATTAATTTTCATTTAATTAATTTTAATTTTTTCTATAAGCTTTTGACTACCAGCCAAATTTACCAAGACTTTATTCCCTAAATATCATAATTGCGCTCGTAAATAGAAGCTTAATTTCGCGCGCTAAATTTTTCACAACAGTAAAACATTCAGACCAATTTTTGACAGCCAGATATTTTTGAATTTTTTGAGTGCAGCTCGAATCAATAGTAAAAGTACTTTGATAGGATATATCACTCGACCCCTTCAGACGTGTCTTTGAGGTATCTTGCTTCATGCGAAAAAAAACAGACGACATTTGCCGATCGGAATCATCAGTTTCAAGAAAAGAATAACATTGAGGGTATTGTTATTAGGAGGAATCATCTTGCGGTGCGCCTTAAATCATCGTGTATAGATTTTTCAGGCAAACAAGCAACGCCAGTCAAAATGGGGCAAAAGCGCCCCATTGTGTCAACGTCGTCATCTACGTCGCCGGAGGATAATCGACCCCTAAGGTCGTCTAATCCGAGATCTCGGATTACTGCCAAAACAGTATCGGTTCCTGTTCGTCCTCAGCCTCCTCTACTGTTGTCATCCTCCACCCCTGTGCGGACAAAATCCTCTGTGACCAAGTCGGCGGAAAGCTGGTGTCGGATGCTCCTGGCATACAGTCTATTCCTCGAGATGCTACGGCGGTGGTGGATCTTACGGCCTCTTCCTCTACGTCTGGAAATTTCCTCCCGGAAGTGCCTATCAGTGTGAAGTCGAACGTATCTTCTCTTGCCAAATCTGTGATCATCTCTTGCGCGGATTTGATTCCTATCTCGTCGGATGATGAATCGTCAGTCCCGCAATTATAAGATTGTTCTAAAGGCTCAAATTTGGCTGTCTCCAACCCTCCCAACCGCGATGTGTCAGGATTTACTTCGGATCTTGATGGAAATATCTCCTCAGCGTCCAATTCGTCACGCACTTCCTCTCGCCAAAAGAAGCAAACTTCTTTTTATGGTAGCCCAATTCGTCACTCCGTGAATCTAATTAATTTACCTATCCCATCCAGTTCGACTCAGGCATCTCCGGATAGAAGGGTCCGCTTTGCCAAGGACAAACAAGAAAAATCTCTTCAGTAGGAACATCCTCGGGTTTGTTCTCCAAACAAGGCCGGAAGCTTTACTAGGAAGTTTACTAGATTTCCTACTGTCAACTCGTTGTCGGATAACCCGCTGCGACGGAATGAAAATTAAACTCTGCTGTTCTTCTGTCGGTCATATTCGTTAGATTTAAACTCTTTGCTAAAACTCTTAGATCTGTACTCACTCAATCGTTGAGTCCTTTCAGTCTTTTCAAGTTATTTTGTATTTAGTGCAGTTACATTTGAAAAATTCATATGTTCCATTTGAACTTTCCCTAGAGGGGGAAATGTGGTGCGGTGTTGTTTAATGTGTAGTACTGTATTATTCATTGTTACTTATGACGTCATTCTAATCTAAGCCGTTATTCTAATGTTGGTTATCAAGGTCGCTATCGACCTGTCAAACCTCGGTTCATTTATAAGCAAGCATGATTTGTTAAAGTACTTATTTTATTTATTATGTAGAGAGAGAGAGAGAGAGGATCTAACAGCAAGAAAAACAATTCGAAATTTCAAAAAACAAAAAAAAGTATGTCAAAAAGTAAATCAAAATGGAAAATAAAGAACTTGTAACACATCTTCGTTGTAGCTATATAGAACATAAACAAAAAATTTAAAAATTCATTGATTTTTGAACTAACTTGACCATCCATAGCAAAAACCAGTTTTTTTGCTATGACATTTTATATTCCACGCTGACTGGATTTCTGATAACTGAAAAATTAGCCTCAGTGATTGTTCAAACGAAATTCAAAAAATAAAAAAAAATCAGTCAGTTCCTCCTGCTCTTATCGAACATCATTCCTTACTTCCAATTCAGACAAAGAGCAACTCACTTGTAATTCAAGTAAAATGGATCCCCTGTCTTTTCGAAGTAACTCTGCAGATAATCCTTTCCTACTGCAACATAAGATGTGAGAGAGACAAAGAGACCCTCCGCACAATTCTCAGGAGTGTCGAAGCTGTACAGACATTCCTCTTTGTACACCAGTTTGTTCATGTTGGGCATGGACAACTTCCCACAGAACTGCATCAGAGACATGCCAATCTGAAAGAATAGATTAACTTCAGACCTTTTCAGTAGTATGTCTTCCGATAATAGTTTAATAGTTATTGATTGGTTGTTTTAAACTCGACGAACATGGGCGGATTTAGCGCGGGGGGGGGGGGGGTCGCAGTCAATTTAAGGGAGAGTGCAGTTGTAATATTTTATGACATCTATGATGGAGAAAATCATAGATCCGCCCCTGTCGACGAAGCACATCTTCTAACCACGTGCGATACACAAATAAATGCCAAAACTCGAAAACAAAAACAAACATCACTGTTTAAAAATTTCAGGCTTTTTCGACAAATATACCCAGGCTAAAGAATTCGAATATATTAGAACGGAAAAAATCTGAATCTTTTATAATAATTTTAACTATCCAAAACCTTGAAAAAAATTCTTTTGGCCCAATCATGAATGTTGTTTGTTCGCTAAATGGGCAATATGAGTTGCCTGAAATTGGTTTGATTATAATCGGTCTCTGCTAATCGTAAAAGTTTAACAAATTAACGTAGCGACTGAACCGACAGTTGCGGTTAAAAAAAAAGATCAGAAAAAGCGAATTAATTTAGAAAGAAACTTTCAATATTATCAGCGGAATAATAAAATATGGACCATTTGATAGACAAAAGTAAAAGACGTGGAGCGCAGACCAATTTGCATAGACTGCAGAACAATTGTTTTAAATCATTTCAGTTTAACGCGTTAAGAACTTATTAAAACACAAAAGTTTCTCCGTTACCGCAAATTTCATTAATGATGCACGTTCAAGCCATTTTCCCTGCGTACGATCAAGGAATCCAGGTTTTCAACCAATTGCTTTGATTGTTTCCACAAGAGAAATCGCTGCAACCAAGTTTTCATGTTGAAACAAGGACTGTTTTCGCTTTCAGATCCCGTTCAATCTTCGTAAAATGGGGAACAGCTAAAGGTGGAGGTGACTGTTTGATATATTTTTTAAAATCTGCTGTAGAGATGCGGGAAAGAATGCGGAAATAACTTCATAAATTTGACTTTTCCCAAATCCGTTTCTTTACTAAATAAAGCAGGGGAATAGCGCGTTTATGCAGGGAAGATACCCACATCATTATCTTTCGGTTGAACCCTTGGACTCAGACTTGATGGTCGCGTGTAGCATAAAAAGCCATTAGGAAGGGGTACGGGCCCCTACCGTGCAAAAAAAATATCTAAATTTTAACCTATTCCTTTTTTCTGAAAAAATTTACGTTCTCGAAAATGGTTCTTAGGCTTGTTCTAATTTTTTGCATGCGACCCTGATTTTGACAGTGCAATCATTCCTTATAATTGCCAGCCTATAGGTTTGAAGACCACTTAACCCGATTTTTCCACTTTTTTGAGGTAACCAAAAAGGTGTTTTTTTTTCACCTTTTCTTCAAATATGGAAAATTTACGGCTATGGGGATGAAAACCATTCTGAACAGGTTCATTAAGTGTGTCTTAGTGAAATAAATTGATTGGAACAACTTTTTTTGACTTTTTGAAGAAAAAAAAGTTCATTTTTCACGTTTCTGACTCAACATTTTATATCAAAAAAATAAAAATTTTCAAAAGTATGATGATATTGAATTTATTTGGTATATTCCAGCTCCTCATAGTCAATTTGGTGGGTATAGAGTTTTAAAACGTCAAAATTGAGTAAAAATTGAAGATGTTACGATTTTTTTATTTTCACCATTTTTATTACCAAGTTAGTGTAACACCAAAAAAAAAAAAAGTTTTAAGTTCACAAACATAAGCATTGACGGATGATTTCGGCTTAGCATTGTCACCAATATAGGTTTTCAGCTATGCTCAATTGAAATGGGACAAAAATTGTAGAAACAAGATCGTTATTGCAATCCGAACACGCTTGAATTCGCATTTCAATGACGATACGCGTTCCGCCCACGGTTGGCTCGTGTCTATAGCTGCATAAGGTGCATTCTGTCCAAGCAGATCATGTGCACTATGCTATAGACCTATGTACCGACTGTGGTGGTTTTTACGCTTTTTAAAACCTCTGTTTTTTTTTAAATTTTGTTTGCTTTATTTATGATTCATTTGTTTTTTCCGCCCTAATAGTATAGTAGATGACGCGCGGCATCCCCGCAGGTTTGGCGTCGGTTCGAATCCCGCTTTTACATTTTTAATTTTTTTTTAATTTAAATTTTATTTTACTAAACACACCTTCAGTTTTCTTGTTACTACTACTGTTCGCTGTTGTCTGCTAAACAATCGCGTATTTCGATGTTTTATCGTAACTTCAACTTTACTTTCTATTGCTAAACGACGTAAAACACAATAGAAAACTGGATAGAAACTATGTGATGTATAATTGTTTTTTCCAAGCAAGCGGTTCCTTTAGAAAAGGATTTCCTCCTAAACTCATTAACGGAACCATTAATATGGACTTTTTCAAATTCTTTGGTTAGATTTAAAATTGTCAAATTTATCAAACTACTCCATCTTAACTTACCTTATGCAATGATTTTAAAGACATTTTCAAAAAACTTGGAATCTCGTCCGCTCTTTTATCTTTACAATCACATCGAATAACGATACTTGATAAGCGATGCACACCTGAAATTTACAAAAATTAGAAGCAAAAATTCGAATTTGTTACTTCACGCAGCCTGGGAAAAATCTTGCTCGTCGTTATAATACATCTTCATTTTCGCAAGGAAAATCGCATCACACAAATGAGAAAAATTAAGAAGCCGAATCTTTATGACAACAAGTCGCAGTTTTGGCATCAAGGCAGGGAGTTTCCTCTTTTTCGTTCTGTTGGCATGTTGGCGTTTCTTGATTGTCGCCCTCTTTAGTTTGTTGGATAAAAAATTGGTTTGGATCAGCTTCGGAAACTTTTCCTATGTATAATTTAAGATCTATATCATTTTGGCTATTCTGCTCATCTGTTTTACTCGTTTCGTCGTTCTTCGACGCTTTCATTTGTTTGGCTTTTTCTTTCTGTTTTAGGCGTTTTTGTCTCTTTTTAGAAGTTTTAAGTTCTGCTTCCAGTTCATTCTGTTTCAATTTTGCTTCATATTCGAGCCTTTCCTCTTCTTCTTTACTTACAGCTTCATAATACTGATTCCGTTTCTGTTCACGACGCCGTATTCCTCTGTATACATGAAACTCTCCACTACCAGCCGCGGCGGATGATCCCATCACCTCACGAACAAATTCAGGTGGTTTCGAAACAGACGGTCCCTTCGGACGATCAGGTATTGTAATTGGTCTCTCTGGATGTTTCATCATTCTGTCTATCTTTAACCTTTGAAGGTCTGATAATGACTTGCACTGCACAAACTCTTCTCTTTCACGCAAAAATTTGCTTCTTTTCTGTTTCTTTGGGTCATCCTCATCGTCTGGAGGAATATACATAGAGCCACTCATTTTAAAACAAATCTATAAACAACTTAAGATTTTGTGAAACACACCAAGTGCATTAAAAAAGAGTTTAACAAATATTTCTTGCTTGCGAAAACAATTGAAAAAATTTAATGACGACCGAGAGCAATTGAGCTTCGATCTGGCAAGGAATCACCATATGATGTAAGCTTCTCGGACTGCGCGATCGACACAAATTTGGCCGGCGTGGATGGTATATATCTGTGCTATTCCCCCGGATGGCACAGCGTAACCTTCCATCGCCCAAATGAAACGATGCTAAAGGCCTTAGTGATGAAAACGTAATAAAAAGGAAGGTAGAAATCTTCTGGAAGCTAAGTCTTTCAAAACGAAAAGACGGGCATTTTAATTGCGACGTGTACAAACACAACAGCCGGATAACACACGAAAAACAGTCGTATGACAAGAAGGAGAAGATAAATTTGTATTTGAAATGGACAGTTAGTTGAAGCCTCCGGGCGTAACACGCAGACACGATAAGTGGACACGGGCAAGGAAAGGGTCAATCCATCTATAAAACATAACTGTTACTAAAAATATCTATAATTAATATTTTTAGCCCTGCTTTTAGTAATTGTCACAATATCTGGGGATCCGAGACCCAGCTATGAGGTTATTTTTTCATGTAAACGGAAGCCAAATAAAAATTGTTTGACTGTTGGCCTAAACGCGGTAACATGATGGTTAACCCTTAAACAGACCAGAAAATCAACTGGTTAGGTCGCGACGGTGAAAAACAAGTAGAATTAAGGTAGGTAACTGACGTCAGCCAGTCGTCAATAGGGACTTTTCCTATCCTCCTTCGCTGTGTAATTTCTGGGCAAATGTTACAATCCGAGATTTCTTCAAAAAAAAATCGTGTGTCGTGGCTATAATAGCGAGAATTTTCCATGATTTCTGGGACGAAGATCTATAGACATACTGTCTCCCGTCATTTAAATTAGTCATTTACAAAAACATCCTAAAAACGCAACAACTAACGAGCTCAACAACTATCTAGACGCCAAAAGGCCACTATTAGCTTTTCAATTCCAGAAAAAATTCTGCAAAAGCCAAGAAAACGGAAAAGGAAAACCTAGAATCTAAACGAGAACGAATTTAACAAAAAGTTTGTAAGTTTAAAAAGGTTTATTGGAACGTTTTGGCACAATTTGTGCATCATCGGGATTAAATTTTTTTAACAATTTTTTTACTAAATGATCAAAGATATGGAAAAAAAGACCAACATGTCTAAAAATGCTCGAAAATTTTCTGACCACTCAAACTTATGCAACTGTAATTTCATAATAAATTCCTTAATTTTAAATAACATTTTCCTTTATATTTCAGATAATTTTCAGTTTTTGTAATTTATTTGTTATAATTTTTCTTATCGGGAATATTTTCATTTTTGACATGCCTGTTTTTTGAAAATTTAGCCATATACATGCATGAATTTGGGTCATGCTTATAAATGCATTTGGGTTATTAATAGTCCTAGCATAAATTATAGAAACTGACAAAAATGAAAATATTCCGAAACTAAAAAGCAGTAGCTTATCTTGGAATCCAAATACACAAGTTTTAAGTGGAACAAAAATATCTCAACTAAAATATTTGAAACGCGGCTATTTTTAAGAACGTATGGCAAAGATAGGGAGTGAATTACCATCGGGAGTGAAATTCGATTTAATTAAAACATGTGTCTTTCAATATTTCTTATCAGTAAACCTGCCAGATTTCTAAGTTTTTTTTGAAAGCTGGAGCAGTTCAATCAACAGTGTCTAAAGTGACCTTATAGGTTTTTAGTTTCAATGCAGCTTCTAAAGATACTCAATTCTCTGCTGACATCTCATCAACTTATCGAAAAAGATCTGCGATTTTTTCAGCGATCAATATCGGTTCAAACTAAGCCATTTGTCAATTTTTCCCTGTTAAACCTATACACGCAATCTCTGAAATTTATCGAGTCCTAATTCGAATCTCAGAGACACTCAGAATGGAAGATAATACCCTTCCTCCTTCAACAGATTTGTTTTCTCTGTCAACTAATTTTGTGAAGTCTTAAACATCAATTTGACAAGACAACCAAACAAACATAAAAACAAATTTTGATCGGCTATTCTCCCTCCGGCAAACAGCACTACATTATGATCCTATAAAAACTTGTAGTAGCCCGTTAGAATGCAGATATCGTTCTTGCATTACTTGATTAATTTTATTTTTATTTTCCTTGAAGCCTTAATTTGATTATTCTCAAACTTTCATTTCCTTGAAGCCTTCATTTAATCACTCGGAAATTGAAGTCTGTTACAACTATTTTCTGCCGTGAGTATGCCCTCAGGATCGTCAAATTGACTTAATGCGTTACCCTTCACCGAATACAATTCCGAACTGAACAAATCAGAATTCAAACACGGGATATACCTGCGATGTTATTGGGAACCAGTCAAAATTCGCACAAGGTGTGCATTCGGAACCCCATTCAGCCTAAAGTAAATTTTGCGCCAAAGGAGGGTATACTCATATTGAACCCAAAAAAATTAGAGATAATATGGTCAAATTGATTGATGAGGTTTACCTTGCCGTCAAACTCCAGTCTGACCTTCGTCAAAGTCCAGCCGAAAGCTTTGTCAACAAATCAACTATCATTAATGATGAGGCGAGACAAGACATTAAAGCCAATGGACTATGGGGCTCGAGATTCAAACGCTGATTTTTTGATGTAAAAATTTCTCAAAGATCCACACAATTAACATGAGTCTATCAAAAGTTTCAAATAAAAGCAAAGAATGTAAATTGTCGAACAAAGTAGCTTTAGCCCGCTTATCTTCGCGTGCACGGGCGTTGCAACATAGACAGCATTGAAAACGAAACAGAGTTGCTGAAAAACTAAGAGAGTAAAGGCCAAGACACTGAGGCATGGTTGTCATGTTATTAACAAGGTGTTATTAACAGACCTATATTTAACATGTTTTTAACACATTGTTTTTAACATTTTGAGCTTCCAGTTCGAATGCAGTCCTTTTTTCATATTTCATCACAAAATTCAACAACTAGGCCAAGCCTATATCCTCCAATGCTGAATTGGAGCGGTGTTTCTCAACTCTCGGACTCACCAATGGATAACTCTGAAATTCTATGGGAGTCCAGAAGGCTGGAGAGCTGGCTTTTCTCTTTAAACAACTCGATGAGTGATTTTAAAATTCAATTTTGCTTTTAACGTGTTTTTTTCCTTTCATATAGTTAACACGTTAAAAACGTTTTAGTCAACTATATGACAGCCATGCAATGAGGTAAAGAATTTTTATCAGAACTAAATCAGCTTCGCACTCCTTAGGAGATCATTTTCATGCATCATGGGATGGAAGTCACAAAAAAATTAGAATAAGTACATTGAATAAGTGCCATAGTACAGGATCGACGACTTATATTATGTGCTCACTTGACCACTTGATTTGATCGTTCTAGTGCTTTGATGCATATATATATATATATAATATATAACGCTGGTTTGGCCCTTTCTGGCTTGACCGTAATTATACGGTCGGGCAAGTTTGGTAACTTTTTTATATTAAAGGTAATCAGAAGGTCAAAAGTATCATAGTAACCGAGGTTACAGTCATGAGTCCCTTCATCATGTATTCCAGTCAAAATCCTTGGAATTTTCTAGATATGGAAGTGATAATGATAAAAGAAGATGTCAAGTGTTTAAGTCCTTTTCATTTAAAATCGATACGGGTTACGCTTCTTCAATAAGAACACGCAACTCGACACGAGATAATATAATATACAAGTGTTACAAGTAAAAAATTTCGTCGAAAGTTATTTTGTCATTTATTGTTCCGAGTACGCAAGCGGCGTTTGCAATCTGTATTGCCAGGGAGATTCTCTGTTTTAAAAAGCTGCCTGCTCTGGGTTCCTCAGTGCATATGCTTATGTTCTTACAAAGCTTGCTCAAAAAAACTTCTGTGCTGGGGCCGGCCGCGCCCTGAATTTCAAAAGCTAGCGGTTGAAAAAGATATCCATCATTTACAAGATCTTTATATTTGTCAATTTTTCGCTCTTCCGCTTCAGCGGCAGCCGTACCAGGGTTACAAACAGACCCGGCATTAATCCTACAAGGGGCTAAGGAGTCTACTACCGTTACATCCCACAAGAGCTGCTTACCATCAGCCCATGGAACGAGCGTCAAACCGTCTGGTCGCTTCTGATCGGTCCTGTAGAGGTGTCGTGGTTCTAAAACAGACGGAATGTGAGTAGATGATAGACTCTGCTTTATAAGGGCATTCAGGTTTGAATGCCTAGAGAATCTCCCTGCACTTTTGAGGCAAGAAAGACCATGCCAACCATCCTCGGTAACGTCTTTTCCGCACACGCATTTATGCCGTTCGCATATTTTTGATCCTAATCGAAGTCCTATCGCAATTCTGAGTTGTTGGTTCGACAGTTTTAACCTTAAATTTTTGCAGGGGATGACGTTCAACCATTGGGATCCAAATCTATCTTGGAACGCGTTGAACCTTTTCACGTCCGTTGGTTCGAGTCGTAAAATCAAGTCTGCAATTTCGCTGTCAAAAATTGGCTCCGTCCAATTTTTTTGGATTTCATTTTCCGGAGCCATTTCAATTTTTCCAAGGTCAAACCACCGTTTAAGCGCATCATCATAGGTTCCATCCACATGCTCCAAACCAAAGATTTCGCTCAAGGCATCTTTCGCTCCTACTGCTGAGGCTAAGAAAGCGGGTAAAGCGAGTAGACAAGCGGAAGAAACGCCCAAGCCACCTTTGGCTGCCGGGAGAACTGCTTGTAAAAACTGGTTATCATCCATTTTCACGTTAGTGACCTTGCATAACGAATTTCTTAGTAATTTATCGTAGCGTTCCAAAAAATCATTTTGCAAAAAACAAGGGCTCGTACGCAAAAAATATAGGAGTTTTGGCATGCTAAAGCAATTTTTCAGGAGGTAAAAACCATAATGGGCGTCTAGTTTGTCAATGACATCC